TTGAATTTGTTGTTTAAGAGTCCTGCGTTGAAAGTATCAAAAAAATTTGTGCGTGTGAGTTGACAGAACTGTACTTAAATGCTATGCAAAGTTTAGGTCCGATCTGTCAATCAGTTTGTTTACAACAGCTGTTTATGTTAGTTGAGTTAAGGAATATTTTGCGATTTTCATAAGGGATAAATTTGTCGAGCTCAGAATTTGTCTTAAATTTTATGTTGCCTATGAAATTTTTTGTTCCAAATTGCTGAAGAAAGTCAGATTTGTGGAAAAACAATTCTAGATTTTGCACCACAATAGTGCACCGCCGTACTCATCAATTTTTGCACACATATTTTTGATCAAAAACTTAACAAATGTCATCGACCAAGCTCCGTATTCTCCAGTGTGACTTTTTCCCGTTTTCCAAACTCAAGTTATTACTTCGGGGAGAGCTTTGAATCGATTAAAACCATAAAAGAAAATTTACAGAATTCAAAACGATATTATCTTCAGGATTTGAAAAGTGTTTTGAAGACTGGGTTAAACGTTGGCACATATATATTGCATCTGATGCAACCTATTTTGAAAGCGACAAAATAAGTATTGTTGAATAAACAAATATTTTGTGTGTTATTTAACATTTCCGGATACATTTTTTACAGAATATATTAATTAATGTTTATATTATTTTTATTCCAATACTATGACACATATTTAATTTTTAAACTGCAACATACTGATATATGTTAACTTTTGAATAACTATTTTCAGCACGTGGTTGTCCCGCAGCTGTGTTACGCATGTGGGATTCGTTAACGTCTGCTCCACGTGAGCTCTGTGGTGTTAAAAATCCTGAGGACAATTGGGGTTTCCTTTCAGAGGATAATAATATGCGACTCAGGTTTGTTTACGCCTTGTATGAGCAATGAGGATTTCAGAAAAGTATTCTTTATATATTTTTATGTTATACAGTTTTATATCAGCTGATAAAGCAGTAGGGCAACACGGTTTTCGAGCGGTGTGGACCGAAGTGAGTACAGATTGCGAGAATCAGTTTCAATGCATCAAAAATAAATACTGCATCGATGAGTCGCTGCGGTGCAATAACATAGATAATTGTGGGCCAGACGATTCGTCGGACGAGGAAAACTGTAAGTTTCGTTAACATTAGAATGCAGCGTGTATAACAGAAGCAAGCATTTCGAAAAGCGGTGTGATTAGGTGTTTTACTTTGCTTCCATTACGACTTACATAATATCTCCTTCTCTCTTTCTGTCTTTCTTTTCTCTCTCTACACGTGAACTATATTCTACTCTATTATTCAGTGTAATCTCCTATGGATTGTTCAATAGATATATTCTACAAAAATTTCCAGGTGTATTGTTTCTGTGTATGCAATACCTTTTCAATCCTTTTAAAACAGTATTGTTAATTTTTTATTTATCTTTACCATGATGCAGATTAACAGCACTAAAACTCGTTTTATAATCATCATGAATAAGTATAGTTTATATAAAACATAATTTATATTAATTAGTAAAAGTTTACAAGTAAAACAATATACGTTTTTAATCATTTAAATGCGATTATTATTATACCTTCTTTTTTTCATCGCATTTAAGAATAATCAATCTAATAGTTTAATATAAAGTAGATATAAATTATGCGATATTAAAAAAAATTTTATCAATAATAAAATATTAATATTAAGAGTACATAATATAGTGGTGAGAGTACTTTAAATATATTTTATTTTGTATGTTAAATATCACGAATATAATTTGAATTATACATATATAAATTAATGAAATTATAAAAATATATATTATATATTATAAATTGTAACTTGTATATTATATGGATATATCCACATATGTGTAAAGACAAAATAATGTTGGACATTACATCGATAAACGCAACACAAAGCTACTTATTATTACGTTATTCATTCTACCAGAAAATTTTAAATATTTTCTGAAAAAGAATACGATTTATATTTTTTAAATTTATTTTATGATATCTATATCTATTGGTATATCTATAGCACATATAAACAACAAAATAGTTTTTAATTACGATTTTCGCGTGTCTTCTGAATACAAAATACGTCGGGGTGATAACGGTTTAACATTAACGTATAGCGTTTCGAGGCTAATAAGAGAACGTTGTAATTTTTCCTAGGTAAGTAGTAGTAAATGTAGATGTATGTACAAGGTGAGAGAATGGTAGGATTGCGTGGATGAATGATTGTATGGTGTCGCAGGTGCAGCATCAGCCCCATTGTCACCAGCACTGACTGGGGTATCTACTGCCATGCTTCTCTCTCTGTGCTTTGTATTCGTGGCCATCTGAGCCCCCTTCATGAAGCTTCCAGATGATCCGGCATGTTATGCTCCCCTTATCACGTGAGTTCACTCACAGTATTGCACAATCATATACCATATTAAAAAGCTAGTTGGCATGAATATTACATGTATAATGCCACTATTACATATAATTGCCATCACATTGATGCTATTTTTAGCAGGAAAGAACATGTGTCAATGATTCTTCGGATCATTATTTAAGGAGGGTGGTTGCTGAAATAAAAATGATAAAAATAAATTTAAATTTATATAAAATATTCGTCTATGGGAATCTGTCATCCTTGCGAAAGTTCAAGACGTCAAAGTTCATTGTCTGCATGGTGTCGAATAATTAATTATTAAATTTATACTATTGCACATAGCCAACATAGCAAAAGTATTACGATATCTATAATTTAATTCTCAAAAGCATGTTAAAAATGATAAGAATTTTATCAAAATAAGTGCAAATAATTCTATACATACTACATTTACGAAGAATTTTGACGAATACTGAAATTACCTGTCTACGTAGTTATCAAGAACATATACAGGGTGGACGATTTATCTGAAGACATTGAAATATCTCGAGAACTATGCATCGGATAAAAAAAAAGTGGGTAATGAAAGTTGTTCGTCTCGATGGGGGACATCCAATGATACCAAACTCGACCCCCACCCCCACCCTCAGGAGGTGGCGGTGGGGGGAAGATAAAAAACTTAAATAGGAACCCCCATTTTTTATTGCAGATTTGGATTCTCCAGAAAAATATAACCCAATTTGACCTACGAGTTTTTGAATTTTGGTTCACAGATGGCGCTGTAATCGACAAAAATCAAAATGGGTAAAAAATCGTTGAAAATTGGGGATATCTCGAGAAATCGCATCAGATCAGAAAAATAAAAGTAGACGTATTTCATATTTTTAAAATGCTATTCAATGACACCATAATTGACCTCCACCCCCACCTCCTGGGGGTGGGGGAGGGAATTATTTCAAAATCTTCAATGGGAAACTCTTTTTTATAGCAAATCTTGGTTCTCCATTGGTTTGCTTATCAATGAATAAAAAAATATCTCGAGAACTATGCATCGGATAAGAAAAGTGGGTATTATTCAACTTCAATACACTTATTGACCCTTTCTTCAAATGACTGTACACAGGACAGAAACATATCTGAGGGAATTTCAGCGCAAGCGTTTCTTTGAAGATTTTGAAATAATTCCCTCTCCCACCCCCAGGAGGTGGGGGTGGGGGGTCAATTATGTTGTCATTGAATAGCATTTTTTAAAATATCAAATACGGCTTTTTTATTTTTCTGATTTGATGCGATTTCTCGAGATATCCCCAATTTTCAACGATTTTTTACCCATTTTGATTTTTGTCGATTACAGCGCCATTTGTGAACCAAAATGCAAAAACTCATAGGTCATATTGGGGTACTTTTTTCTGGGGAATCCAAATCTGCAATAAAAAATGGGGTTTCCTATTTAAATTTTTATCTTCCCCTCTCCCCCACCCCCAGGGGGTGGGGGTGGGGGTCGAGTGTGGTATCATAGGATGTCCCCCTTCGAGACGAACAACTTTCATTACCCACTTTTTTTATCCGACGCATAGTTCTCGAGATATTTCAATGTCTTCAGATAAATCGTCCACCCTGTATACAGTTTGAGTCATTCCACATCCGACAAAATTTATGAGAAGGTAGAACGGATCAAAATGAACAGAAAAGTTCTGTAACATTTTGCATTTTTTAAAATATCAAATACGGCTTTTTTATTTTTCTGATTTGATGCGATTTCTCGAGATATCCCCAATTTTCAACGATTTTTTACCCATTTTGATTTTTGTCGATTACAGCGCCATTTGTGAACCAAATAGTTAACGAGTAATTAATTATTAAAAATTGTTGTCTTAGGCCGGTCTACCGTCCAATTCGAGAGCGTGGCAAGATGTGACCGCCCGGCGATCGATATTGCAATGCGCACGGAAAGTTGTTTCCATCGCAATCGGCAATGGTTACGCATGAGCGGCGCGTAAAATAAATAAGTAAATTAATAAATCATAAATCAACGCATCGATCACGGAACGACGTCACTCGTGCGTGACTCCACCTTTCGCTACCGCGTCCTAGGAGATATAAACAAATGAACCATTTTGCATGCCTGCCGGGTCCGGCCTTCCGTTCCTTATGCGTTTATTCGACCAGACGTTTTTATCAATTACACGATAAATATTGCTAATTTTGCAAAACGGTACATGACTTTTCTTTTCAGTTTAACCTAATCTACCGTAATTTTTAATTTGGCTACTAACGAGTCTGACACCCTGTATATATTTTTTATAAATTTGAATTTATTTTTATCATTTTTACTTGAACAACCACCCTCCTTAACATTTCTTCACATGTTGAATGTCAAAGTTAAGTTTATCTTCAAAATTCATAATTTTTCTCTATTCATATAATGGTTTTCAAATATTGATAAGAAATAAGACTGAAGAACACCAATTGATTTCCAGTGATTTGTCAAATCACAGTTTCATTATCGACTCAAGAAATTCATTTTTTAAAAATCAGAATAGAAATAATTATATCCAACACGAACGAAGAGCATGTCAAGAAGGAATGCAGTTTAATATACATATATACGCCTTTACTGATTATCTAACAATAAGTGCATGCAATTCTCTACTTCTATTTCCGAATCTTATACATCATTTCTTCTTTGAATTACCTATCTGTTTCTTGTGATCTTATATCTTCTGATCTACATGAAGCATAAATTAAGAAATAATTATAATTAGAAGATATACGTTATCTATTCATAATTTTATAATAACTTGATAAGTATATATATAGTTTGAACACATAGATATAATACAAATATAAATATAAACATAAAGAGCAATGTTATCTAGAAAACGATATTCCCCAATTATTTTGTCATAATTACCAAGATATTAATAAAAAATTACTAAAGAAATGTAATAAGATAATTAAATTGAAAAAGTAATAAGATATATAAATATAAAAGTTATTTTGTACAAGTATATACAGAGATTTTCGAAAATGAAGATTAATTTTTGAATTATTGAATTGTATATTGTTTCATTTATTTATTTTAATTTCTTAATTTTTCAGAAAGGATACGATTAGATGAAAAATATCTTATGTAAAAATTAATATACTGTTACATAATTAATATAAGGTATGATTTCTTTCTTTTTGTCCGATTTATAGCATGAAATTATATATCTGGGTAAAAAAATATTTATAAAAGCAATTTTTATTGGAAATGTACGTAAATAGATTTCTGCCAAATAAGTAAACTTCTGTCTTAAATTCAAATTTATAATCATTCTAAAATTATATTATTTTAAAAGTATTAATAATTGTTAAATCAGTATATTTCTTATACTATTATTATATACAGACATTACTAATATGTATATAATATATATATAATACAAAAATACTATAATATAATTATTATTAAGTTATTATAATAATTATACAATGTTAAAAAGCGGTCTAAGTCTTTAAAAGCATGCAGTATTTATTAAGAAAAATAACAAGTTTTTAACACATTCATTGTCTTGATGGACATTGATACTGAACCATTTGCTTGTGTCATGTCAGTTATTGATGACCTACATAGTTAACATTAAATAATTAAAACTTGTGTAATTTTTAATTTAGAAGGCAATTTTATGAATTGTTTATATCATAATAAACATTACTTCATGATGCAACCCTAGAGGAAATAGATATTTAATGGATAACCTTGCGTAGTATTTTGTTTTTATCTATACATGTACACTAGATATACATAGAAGATATATGCAATTTGTATGCAAATAAAGATAAAGTAAAAATATTACAAATTGAATATCCAGATATACGTACAAATGTCTGTATACTTATGAATATCTATTTTCTTTACTCAGCGAGAAATGACTTGTTGATTGACGTCGAAAGCTAGTATTACGTGTGTCGTATGACATTTTTTAAACGTGTTGATTGGCTGCAGAATAGAAATTTTTTAGATACTTGAGAACTTTACGATTCTGTACCCAATCAACATGCTTAAAAAAATTTGTCGTATGACAAAAGTAATATTGGTCAAAACCGTAACATCAATATCAATTCGACATCGTTTCGACAAATCATTAAGTTTGCTGTCTATTGTTGTACTGGTGAACTAGTGCAGTAAGCTAAAATGAAAAATAACTGTCTTACGCTAATTTATTGCACCAGTGCAGTAATAGAAAACAAGCCTATTTTTCACTAGGTAGGGCCCTAAAAAATAGTACATACAAGGTATACACAATTTGTATATGGATAAAGTCAAAATACAACTTGAATGTATTATACATTAAATGTCTATTTTTGCTAGAAAAGTTTTAATTTGCATATTATATTGTAACTAATATGATTAGTTATTTAATTAATGTATGCTGACTCGTGTATATTTCTTCAAGTGTTTTTAACACAAAAATAACACGAATGTTGTCAGCTGAAATACATTTAAAGGTGAATGTGTTAATAACATAATCGAAAATTAGTTTTGTCAGAAACATTTTTATATTTTGGTAACTGATTTTGATAAATGGCTTGGTTGCTTTTTTGCATAAATTCTTTCAATAATTTTATATAAAACTCTACGATAATTATTATACATACAAAACTGTTAAGGTAAGATAATTGAAAAGTGAAAGAATTAAAAATATATTTTCTGAAATGTTACATCAAAATTTATTTCATATCTTTTTGTGTAAAGACAAAGATTTGTGAAACAAAGCTCGACGTACATTATTACTCTATGAATAGTCATTAAGTTCTAACAGTGACATATTTCAACATTATAATAAGAACTCTGTCATACCATTAAAATAAAACATTTTGCAAAAATATTTTATGTACATAATGCAACTATTTCATGCTTTTAAATTTTAATAAAGTAATTAATATTAATTGATATGTAATGGTCGTTGTTTTAGAAATTAACAAACGAAGATTTTCAAGTATAAATCGTCAAAATACACTTAAATAATACCGTACAGTTCTTTTGTCTTAGTTGAGGAATTTGATTATAAGCCCAATTTTAGCAATATAAGTAAACAAATAAGAATACTCTTAAAAGTCACCAGCAGTAATTAGCAACTTCAGTGATTTTAATTGACCGTATCTGGCAATTTTAATAATACAGAAAATTTATTGCGAAAAATATTACTTGAGAGAGAGAGAGAGAGAGAGAGAGGAGAGGAGAGGAGAGGAGAGGAGAGGAGGAGGGGAGGGGAGGGGAGGGAGAGAGAGGAGGGAGGGAGAGAGGAGGGAGGGGAGGGAGGGAGGAGAGAGAGAGAGAGAGAGAGAGAGAGAGAGAGAGAGAGAGAGAGAGAGAGAGAGAGAGAGAGAGAGAGAG